CTTGGAGATCTTGCACTGCTTCAGTAGACGCTTTACGAACTTGGCAATATAGCCTGTGGGCCTCTAAAGCTGCTCAGTGTCCATGGGAACACCAAAGTGAACCAATATCCTTTGTACCAGACAGGAGAATGGAAGTGCACCCTTATGTTTGGCTTTAAACATCATCCAACAGACATAGTGCCTCTAGTTCACCAGTACACCATGTCGGATAGCCCACATGATAGGAATGTCATGTTCCAGCACCCTGGAATGATTGAAAGTTCGCGGAAATAGTATGTGAATGATGACATAGTGTATTATACGGGCATCGACACTAGGCAACCCCACCGTGTAATGAATGGTCCGCCCACGTCTAATATCAGGCCTCCTGGCCTCCTCCACAGCATCACCTCGGGCATATCCAGGAAGTGATACACCGCTATCTGCGTCATACTCCATAGTGGGCGAAGCATCAAAGTCATAGCCTAGTATCTCCAATCATACCAGAGCTGTTATGATGATGTCCACATCGCAGACCCTCGACCTCAACTCACCCTGTACATAGCTGGGGTTATGGTAGAAGGCCCTCACCATCACCACTGAATACAAACATAGCATCTCAGCCAACACCCTCAGATGTGCTGCCTCCAACACCGCCACAATCTGAAATCCCACCGTCATAAAGAATGTTGTATCCAATGATTTTGGAGGACATAAGTGTCTTTTGACATAGTCACGTACAAATGCAACGTGAACCGAGGGGTCATCCTCAAACAGGTATCCAAATGGGAGGTCGACGTTATCAGGCTCTTCGTCTTGTGGACTTGAGGAAGAAGGCCGGTCTTGTCGTTGCTTCGTGCGTCTCTCACCTTCGGCATTGCTTGCTCTTCTGCGGCCGACCATTATAACAGAAAATCTACAATGACAAAATAATTTATCAACAACCAATAACAACCAATTACAGAGTTATTCCATTTTCATGTATACTAAATTGTCAATTACTATATACAACTTAAAAAGTAGTTTTTGACTTGTAGAAAAATATTTTTACTATTTCTGGAAAGTGGAAACATAAGACAAGAAAGCTAAGTGAAACACTCACAACCATAGAAAATAAATGGACAAGAATATTTTAGTCCTATTTTAGTTGAAACTCTCTAATTCTGATAAATAAATTATGTTGTTAGTGCTTTAAAAAAAATCAAAATCATGAAAAGGAAGAAAATCTACGAATCTCTAATGTTTATAAATTGGAACCATAGCCTGACCCTAAATTACAAATCCATAAGCTACATCTTGTCACAAAACATGAAACAATATCAATAACTCAAGAGACCAGTAAAACCAACAAAAATCTTATCTTCATGCTTTCTTTCATTGATACAATATCAATAACATGAGTACAAAAATAAAAATAAAAATCAAATCAAAGTAACATGAAAATTACAAAACATTACCTAGCCTTTCTGTTTCACGAGGTAATCATTTTTATCGCGCAATCCACACGCATGGGGAACAACTTCTAGAGGAGGTTCAGATTTGGGGTTTGGGTGAAGAACCTTAATCGATTAGGGTTTGAAATAACCCCCTCTGCCAAATGGAGGGAGTTTAAAAACGATTCTGTCGCAATTTAATCGATTAAATAATACATTTAATCGATTAAATGTCTAGAAATTTAATCGATTAAGATGAATTTTTAATCGATTAAATTTCGTGTCAACGTTATTCCTGTTTTTTGACCATTTAACCGATTAAATCTTCAAGTTAATCGATTAAAGATGGGCAGATTGATGGATAGTTTTGGGTGAGAGGCAAAATGGTTATTAATTAATTAATGAGGGACAAAATGGTCAAAAAGCCTAAATATTCTAACCAAAAAAATAGATCTAAAAATGAATAAATTGTATTTTATTTATGAAAAATATTAGCCTCATGTGATAGGAGACAACGAATTTCTTCTACACACTCAAAAAGATGTGGGGCCCACTTTAATTTTTTTCCCGCTTTTCCTATTCAATGGGACCCGCATAAGTTTGTGAGTGTAACATGGGATATGTTATCTCCTATTGCATAAGAAAATATAATCCCTTTATTTATTCTTTTTTGCTAGTACTCAACATTTTGGAGGGGAAGAGGAGATCATATGATTTGTTATTAAGACAAAATAAAATTTATAGATACAAATTTAAAATAAGAGAATAATTGAAAAAAGATAAGAACTCAGTAAAAGGTTTTAAAAAAGCTGCTTCTCGAAACTTCCAATTTTTTTCTTATTTTATTCATTATATTTTCTTTTATGATAAGAGCATTTATAAAAATTATATTTGGAAGCTCTTATATTTAGCCTCTCTTCTTCTTATATGCAGAAGTTTAGTCAATTATAATTTGACAAAAAATCTTATAATAAAACAAGTTATTTTTTTTATAATTAAGAAAAACAAGAGCTAAAAATTGCTTGGACGAGTTTTTTTCCAGTGTTTTAAAACCCCACCTCACCCCTCGGGTCAACCCTGACCCCTCCCCTCTGATGGTTGGGATCACAAGTTGGACCCTATATGCACATCGACCCCTCCGACTCCCAAAATTCGGCCGAATTTCAGTGACTTCCGGGTCAGAGGGGTCAAAGGGAGTCATTGCATGTTTTTTTTTATAAAGAAAATTCCATGAAACAACGTCATTTTATTAAAAAATAAAAATAAAAAATGCTTGCAAACCTAAATCTAATCGTTCTGTTCTCTCCAAACGACCTAGACTTGTGGTATCTTGATAATTTGGTATCATTAGAATATGAGTTTTGTACTTTGGTATCTTGATACTTTAATTAGGTTGTGTAATATTGACTTGTGGTTATAATTGGTGAATTATGTTAAAGATATTTTGAATCTTTGATGATTGGTGATTTGTTTTTTAATATTTTCATATAGGATATATATATTTATATTTTTTTAATATATAAAACCAGGTCAGCGTAGTGACCCTGTGACCCCTGACCTCTGCCGGGTCGATGGCCGGGCCGGGTTTTTAAACACTGTTTTTTTTTTATATATGTTAGTTTTTTAGAGTTCTCATATTTATTTTTTAATTTTACGCTTTTCCTAAATTTGTTATTATAAATTTTATTATTTGCTTTAAGAATTTATTCTAATAACAAATCATTTCATCTCCTTTCCTTCAAAATTCTAAAAATAATTTTATATACTTCTTAAACAATTTTTAGCTTTATTTTTTATTTTAGCTTAAACAAAACTTCTAGTTTAAAAAAAGTGCTAAACATGCTCTAATTTTCTTTTTATAAGGAGAGGAGAAGATAAAAACGATTTTTTGAACTGATATTATCACTTCGTTTAAGATAAACATATAAAAAGGTTCACATCTTGTAATGTAATATTTTAAAAATTGTAATAACTTTATTTCTGTCTTCAATATTATGATTTTAAGAAATTAAAACTAAATGAAATCATTTTAAAAGAAGACTTTGAAAGAAAATACTCTAAGATAGTGATTAATTTTTTTGTCAGGTTCCTACCTTTTTCTCTAGCATTTTCTTTGCTTTTTCTTTAAGAAATTTACTCGTGATGACTTATTTTTTCTTACGTGATTCTGTCTATTTTTATCATTGATTATCGTAATTTGAATTTAAATAACTAAAAAAAGAGGAGATTAAATTTACAACCTCCTATATTAAATCTTAATCATTGATTAATCTAATGATTATAATTTATTAATTAATGTTCAAAAAATTATAACAGTCAAATTGATAAAAATTAAAAATTAATTATAAGAAAAAATATGATAAATATAACCTTTCTCCTAAAACAAATTGGCAGTATTGATATAATCTTTTAAGTTCTAGCTTTTGAAAAGTTGAATGATCTTTATAGCAGTTTGGTAATTGCACATTTTGCGGAATTTGTTGAGTTTTTTTTCCCACTACATAAAAAAACCTCAAGAGAGAACTAACTAGACGGAGAGAAATTTGTTGAAGTAAATTATAGTTATGCCTTACACCTTGCCGCATTTTCAGTAGTCCTACAACGGACAATTAACAGAACAATTATCCTATGCGTTGCACACAAACAATCATTTCTTTCAATGGTGGCACTGTGCCAGTACCCCACTGTTTTCATCATCAAACACAGAGAGAGAGAGAGTACAAAGCGTGCATAGATGGACAATACAAGTACTACACACACCAAACGACACCACCCCGACATTGACATTTTGGTTGAGATCATATTTTCGTTATTCAAAACGGAAAATGTACACACTAGATCATGCTCCATTCAACATGCACTACATATTTGTTAATTGTTATACAAACCAGAGTACGTCACTTATTTTATGTCGTAATTAACAGTTCAATTCAAAGTACTAACAACAATTTTTGATAATATTTTATATATACGTTATTGATTTATATTTGAACAATTACTAATGAGAATACCAACTCTCAAATAAGAGACGGCGATTGGTGAAACATCCACATTAAAGTATAAGCTCGTTTATTGTAGATGATACTTTACTTTTTAAAACGCATCATGTTAAAAAGGAAAGAAAAACGTATAGAATCAAATACTTACTCTAAATGAACGCGTCCATTACTTGCATCTTTGATAAATGTACCATATTAAAGATAAAGCGATGGTAATAATTAAGATATATCTTTTGACAATTACAATAATTATGTTTTATAATAGTTCTTAAAAAAGGAATAGTTTTGGATTACGAAGAGCAAGTATATCGAAGGGATGTGATGCAATGTAATAGCGAGTGGGAATTAAATTCGGACGGAGTTAAAGGGTCATGGGTAAAACCGTAATTGTATGAGGGGAATTAATTCTCTAGTCTGCTGCACTTGCTTCGGTGGCAGTTCTCCGACCCCAGTGCGTCTCTCTCTCTCTCTTCTCTTTTCTCTTTCTCTCTCTATGACTGAGGTCTTGGTTCGATTCAATCGGACACAACAAACTTTATATATAACAAACTTTATCTTTCTCTATCGCTCATTCTCACGCACACTCTCTAACAAACAAACGCAAACACACACACTCACACTCACGCATACACACTATAACACAAACTGTCCTTGGATTGCACATTTCTCCTTATGTTTAAAAGCCCTAATCAAACCCTCATTCACTCTTTCCGTAACGAATTCGAAATCTCTGTGTCACTCTCTCAACCATGACTGGCCAACTACCGCCGCAGCCTCGCCGTCTCGACCCCAAAATCTGGCGAGCATGCGCCGGCGCTTCCGTTCAAATCCCCACACTCCATTCTAGGGTTTACTACTTCCCTCAGGGTCATATCGACCAGGCTTCTTCACCTCCTAACAACCTTTCTCCTTTACTCCTCTCTAGGCCTTTCATTCTCTGCCGTATCTCCGCCGTCCAATTCCTCGCCGATTCAATCACCGATGAGGTTTTCGCTAAGCTCCTCCTCCACCCCCTCACTGATTACTCCGTCGCTCCTCCACGCCTACTTCCTCCTCCTCCTCCCTCCGACGATGACGACAAGGTCGTCTCGTTTGCCAAGATTCTTACTCCTTCTGACGCCAATAACGGCGGCGGATTTTCTGTACCGAGGTTCTGCGCTGATTCCATCTTCCCGCCGCTCGACTTCGACGCCGATCCGCCGGTGCAGAATCTCTCCGTCACCGACGTCCACGGCGTCGCGTGGGAGTTCCGCCACATTTACCGCGGCACGCCGCGGCGGCACTTGCTCACTACTGGCTGGAGCAAGTTTGTCAACAGCAAGAAGCTGGTTGCCGGCGATTCTGTGGTTTTCATGAAGAACCCCAGGAAGGAGATGTTCGTCGGGATTCGCCGTGCCACGCGATTCTCTTCCTGCGATGGTGCCAGATGGTCTTTTCAGGTTGGCGGGGTGAGAAATAGGGCTGAAGAGAAGCCTCAGGAAGAGGAAGTAAAGAAAGACGGGTTTTCGAGGAACGGGAAGGGGAAGCTGTCGGCGAAGGCGGTTGCGGAGGCAGCTGAATTGGCAGCACAAAACTTGCCGTTTGAGGTCGTGTATTATCCGAGGACTGGCTGGTCTGATTTTGTGGTGAAGGCTGAGATTGTGGACGAAGCAATGAGTGTTGTGTGGACTCCTGGAATGAGAGTCAAAATGGCTATGGAGACAGATGATTCATCCAGGATGACCTGGTTTCAGGGTACTGTGTCTTCGGTATCTGTTCCTGATAATGGCCATTGGCGAGGTTCTCCTTGGCGTATGCTTCAGGTATCCCTGCACTTTTGTTTTGTATGTTTATTGTGTGCGTTATATTTTATAAGTATTTTGGCCAGATTATTAATTTCTCTTCGTTGGATTAAATTCTGCTTTTGATTTCCGATATTGACCTCTGAGATTCAAAATCAGATACTGGTGGTGGAGATGGTAAATCTTATGTGTGAGGAATCACACTGAGTCTTACTTCAGCTGACTTTATAAAGAAAGAAACAATAGGATGCGTGGGGGTGGGGCCTCAGAGTTTTTGATCAACCACCAAGAACTATCTGGCTAAAATTCTACATTTGCTTGGCCATTGTTTTGGCATGATTCGGACTAGGATATGCTTTTTCGTCTGTTATGGAGTCTCAATAAACTCTCATTTTCACAAGAATTATGTTTCCCATTAACATTTTAATGAACATAAGTACTCTTAGGTTATAAAAACACTACTGATGCTGAAAGGCCCAAACCTAGTTTGATAAGAGCCTAATGATGTCATTTGATCCATTTAGGTGGCCCCACATAGTGGGATAAGGCTCAGTTGTTGTTGTTGTGGACTGAAATTTATACCCAATCTTGACTATACTTGCCATGTCAAGTCCTCAGCACGTTACTGGGATTCTCTCTCTGTGAGTCCATCTGTGTTAGCATTTATTTATGTAGGGGAAATACTCGGGGGATCTATTGCTCTCCTTTATTTTCTGAAGTCTGAGGCTTAGTATTATGTCTGTTGTGACAAAACATTATTTTCATTGAAAGAAACTTTTTTCATTGAAGTTGTACTTAAGAAATTATCATCTAACTCAAACTGACTGTTATTGTTATTGGCCTTCTGTGGTTTTTTATCTTAACATCACAGGTTACATGGGACGAACCTGAAGTGTTGCAGAATGCAAAGTGGGTCAGCCCTTGGCAGGTTGAACTTGTTGCCGCCACACCTCCACTTCATACACCATTCCCCCCAACTAAAAAGTTTAGAGCTGCTCAGGGTCCCGTGGTGTTAACTGATGGAGAGGGAGACCCCTTTTCTATGACAGGATTCACTAATTCAACAATGAGACACTTGAATCAAACATTGTTGAGTTATGGTACTTTTCCTGCGGGCATGCAGGGAGCCAGGCATGATCTATTTTCTGCATCAAATTTTCCCAACTTTTCAGTTGATAACTCTCGTCTGTGTATGGGTAATTCCTTTGGGAACAACACAGTGCCAAGGCTGAAAAGTTTGTCAACAGATCTAAATGTTGGCAGTTTTCAATCTGATGACTTGTCACCAGATAGCCAACACAGTAGTTTGCATTCCTTTGGCACGGAATTTGTTAGGAACCACAGCTGCAACTCAACAAAATCTGGCTCTGTTTCATTTCAGCTATTTGGTGCAGTCATTCATGCAGAACAGCCTGTTGAAAGTGGTTCGCATGGTACTGGTTGCACAGAAGATGATAGCAGTAAGGGATGCAATGAAACTGAAGGCATTGACAACCCACTGGATGATTCTTTGACTTACTCAAAATTGCTTGACAGGCTTGATGATCAATGCCAAAGAGCCTCGACAGTCGAGGCATGTTATTTGTGAAAGTAGTTATGTCTATGTCATGCATATAAGTAGCTGTACAGGTATGCTTATTTTTGAGTGAACTGAATTTCTCACCTAGAAACGAATCAGATTACAGAACCAGCTATTGATGCTTTATTGACAAATTTTGTTCTGAAAAGATGGATTGTGTTATAAATCAATGGCATTTATTGCTCTGTCTATAATCTTATTTGAATATACAATTTTTTTTTTTGAGGCATTGTTCTGACCAAGAGCTAGGTAAATTTGATTCTATTATGTTCTAAGTAATTGATTAATAGCTGTACAGGTATGCTTATTTTTGAGTGAACTGAATTTCTCACCTAGAAACGAATCAGATTACAGAACCAGCTATTGATGCTTTATTGACAAATTTTGTTCTGAAAAAAGGGATTGTGTTATAAATCAATGGCATTTATTGCTCTGTCTATAATCTTATTTGAATATACAATTTTTTTTTGAGGCATTGTTCTGACCAAGAGCTAGGTAAATTTGATTCTATTATGTTCTAAGTAATTGATTAATTGATAACATAGATTGAGTTTTCCCCCAATAAGTGTGTGTTATATTTATGATGCTTCTATTTCTGGTGGTTTTTATTGACTTCAATTATAATTTTTTTTGTACATGACTTCAATTATAACTTCTGTTATACCTTTAGCTTATTACGGGGTTGTTAAGAAATTCTGGCCAAATGTACAGAGCCAAAGTCATTCATGCTTTATTTGCAATACATTAAAGTGGAAAACCACAATGAGAATTTCATCTTATTTAGATTATGGCATCACATCATATTTAACTTAGATAATCAGATGTTATTACATTATTGCTGGGAGGTGACTTGTCTACATGTTTGCTTACTGTCTGAGTTGAGTATAAGTTTAATCAATGTAGAACATTGTCTTGTCTAAATCATGTTTGAGAATAATGCATCTCACAGCCAAAACTAGTGTACGGCTGAAATTTTTGGTTGTTGAGTAGGATTTGCCCCTTTTGAAACTAGCATAAGCAATACATTAAACTCATGCTTATTTTGATTGTTCAGTACTTTGTTGCGGAGGAAAAAAGGTGCAGCTTCTCATAGCATGAAATTCAATGGTTAAATCGGGAATTTGTAATTCTCGCCTCCCAAGTGAGTGTATTTGTATTATTGAACAGCTTTATACTGTTTATCTTGATTTGTTGTTTGGTTTAATGTCTATGTGGCTGGAATTCGTGTTTCAATTAACTTTTTTCTGAACTTTGGTTACCTTTCATGCAGGGACTTTACGCAGGCAGGAAGCTGACTACCCTACTGACCTTGCAGTATGCCGGTTTTCTTTTGTTTGTCTTGTTGAAACTTGGAACAACGAAACTAACTTCGTAATGTTTGCTAGGGTGTACGATGATAATATCTGTTTTTTAATATTTCTAAGTACTAGTTTTATTATCTCTTTTTTCCCCGTTTTGGATCTTGAGAACTGGATTGAAGACCTACCCAATTCAAATTTTTTACCGAAGAACCACACCACGGGTGGTCTTCAATCCAAATAACCAGGAACCAAAGGCTAGTTCTAACTTCTAAGGAAGTATCTTGATCCGTGGAACATTTGACTGTGCCGTGGTAGGATTTATGCATATTTTGTGGTCTCAAATTTTGTATCTTATTTTTCACATAATTTCTGCGCTGTTATTGGTTACCATAAAGGGGGTCTTCCACAATAATTAATATTTGTGTGGAGTGCTATAGAAAGTAACGTAAACAGAATTGCTGGGATAATTTTCCTTTCTAGTGGAAAATATTTGCGAGTAATGCATCGACAATGCATCTTGCACTTCTAGTTTTGATTTGCTATATTGGGCTTTAGTATATTCGATTAATGCGTCCCAACTTTTTTCCCATAGCAACCCCTGTCGTTTCAACAGGAGCAAAGTTTTGAAAGTGGCGGATTCAATTTGTTTTGACACGCCTTGGGTGTGTTTAAATGAGTTGGCGGTTTGGAATCCTAATCCAATTCTTCATACGTGATGACGAGTTGAATGAGCGAGTGGGATCTGTTTTGGCAATAAATTTGACAAGTCTTTTGTTTTGGTAATAAAATTTGACAAGTCTTTAAATATTTTTTTTTTATTATCATACATAATGATAATACTATGTTAGCTTTATTAGGCCAAAAATTTAATTTACTTCACATGTATAATTATTTTTAAAACCCTTCCGTCATTTATTAATGATATAATGCTCTGAGAACAGTATAGTTTTGGTAAACGACAATAAAATTTAATATAACTATGACACGAATAAAAATGTAATATTTTATTTTTATATGTAAAACTTATTTTTAGTTTAGTCTCTATATTTCTTAATATTATAAGCGTGATATAAACTCAACATCCATATTAATCATTTCGGAGTAACCCTGCCAGTTAGATTCTCCCACCAAATTACGGTTGTTCATGCCTCATTGTATACATTGTATATATACAAAGGGATATGTTATTCTGTCTATTTTTATTTTGCCTACCATTGTCTATCCCTTCCAATATTGTTCGATTATAATTTAATCCAACGGTCCATATTTGCAAAATAAAATAAATCTTTTTTTCTCCTTTCTTTCTCCCAATCTCCTCCGACATCCTTTCTCCTCCTCTCCTTTCTCTCTTCCACTGCGATCAATATTTATACCTATTTTTTTTCCCTTTCTTGCTGATGTCTTCCCTAGTGAACGCGCAAGTGGCAGAAGCATTTGAAATCAATAACCAGTGCAAATAATGTTTACCAACATAATTTTGGTCATCATTCTTATCAGGTTTTACAATTAAGTAACATATATTGTAAAATTGAGAGCAGAACCACCCCAGAGACCAATATGGAATGTGAAAAATATTTTTATTGGTGTACTATCTAATAGGGCAACTCATATGTTTTATTATGTTTCATGAGGATCGGATTTTATTTTATTTTTGATAATAGGGAGGGCAAAGCCCAAAGAACAAAAATCAAAATCACAAAATAAGATGCTGCATGTCAGATACAACATGCTCCATTATAATCTTAGTTCTAGTTACATTCCAAAAAGAAAAAATACTAGAAGGGGGAGAAGAGAAGAACAACAGTTCTTCGGGTTTCTGTGAAAAGCCAAGTTTGGCAAGTTCATTTGCACAAGCATTTAGCTCTATGGGTACGTATTCCGGATGAAAGTTTCCAATCAATTAGCCATCACTTTTGATACGGTTTAGAAGAGAAGAGTATCCACAGTGAGGAGAAAGGGTCTCTAAGCACATCAGAGCATCCTTTGAATCACAGCCTATCCAAAGATCAGAGCACTTTAGATTTAAAGCAAGTTGAATACCTTGAAATAAACCCCACAGTTCTGCTTCCAATGCCATACAAGAGCCAATATTGAAAGTAAAACCACCCATCCACTCTCCTGATATAGAAACAATAAAACCACCACAAGCCCCTTTGTTGTTGGATGAACTGTAAGCTCCATCTACAAAAAAACCTGTATCTAAATTGATGAGAGCTGAGACCTGGACAATAAGAAGAGCTAGACTGGTCAATATTGGCATTTAAAGGAAAAGCTTCCCTGCTCTTCTTCATGTCAACCAGGTACATAAGAATATGGTGATTGGGATCCTGGGGAGTAGAGAAATTCTCCTTATGAATGGTAGAATTTCTCCATTTCCACAAAAACCAACAAGTCACATAAAAAACCTCTTTCCAAGATTTCCGGAAATGGCTGGAGAATGATTTAAAAATATTGAGCTTGAACCAAGCCTCTCCATTTAGGGAAAAAAAAAATTATAGGGGACAATTCCAGCAAACCAAACCTCCCATATCTTTCTAACAACACTACAGTCCCTAAAAGTGTGAATAATTGTTTCAGGGGCTTTCTGGCAAGAAGGACAGAATTGATCACCTCCACTCCAATGACAAGTTGTGTTTCTAACAGGAAGTTTATTCAAACAGGCCATCCAAAGGAACACTGCAATCATATAAGGTCCTTTCCATTGCCAGATAGAGGACCAAAGTTTATCAGTGTTGGAGTTAGTTTGAGTGAGATGGCAGTAAGCATGTCTAACAATAGATTTACTAGGACTATTCCTCGTCCACCTCAGACAATCAGTAGAGCATTATTGTCCACAAGGGGAGCAATATTTCCCAACCTAGTTAGAGTTGCATTATCAAGGAAACATGAGAGGTAGCTCCAATTCTAGTCTCCAGTGGTTGCCTCCACAATCTCCCTCACTTTGAGTTTAAGGTCAGCTTGTGGCGGTTTGCTAGAAGCAAGGTTGAAAAGATTATTTTCCCAGCCTTCCCAACTGTCTGTCAGATTTTAAAAGATTAAGAAAGAAACGAGATTGTATTAAACAACAGGGGGCAGTAAAATTCAATCCCAATAGTAGCAAAATTACCAAACCAGTGACTACACCCCAATTTTTGAAGCTAATGTTACAAGAAGAAAGAAATTTTCAAACGGCTCTTGGAGAATTTGGGTTTGCGCAAGGGTTGTAAAGGCGACGTCTTCTTCACCACAGGGGACAAGAGAGAAAGGGTTGGAGTTAGAGAGAGAGAGAGGGGAAAAGAGTAAAAGAGTTTTTATTTATCTTTTGAGTCTCAACCGTCCAATGAAATTGTAATCCAATGATGTTGAGAGAGATAGGTAAAAGTAGACAAAATAGAAATAGACAGAATAACATGTTCATATATATATGGAAAATATGTTTGTTCTTTTAAATGACACAACTTATATCCTTTCACTCTCACAAAGAGGTGGACCTATATTTTTATTTTTTTGTCCACTCTCTCTTTCTTTATTTATGTCTTTCTCTCACTTAAAATGACACAACTTTACATTTTTTAAAATATACACACTTTACCCTATATATATATATATATATATATATATATATATATATATATATATATATACGTACAAAACTATTAAAAAATTATCTTTATTAACAATAGTATAGTTTAGAAGAGACAAAAATATAACTTTAGAGAGGGCAGATATGTCTTTTATGTTAATATTTTTGGATAATACTCGATTTTCTAAAATATTTGAGAGTGGATTTTCTTATGTGCTAATTAACATGATCATGTTATGTGAGGTAATCATAATCATACATGGGTGAGTTAATGGTGACAAGGGAGGAGAAAGAAAAAATATAAAGATAAAAAGAAAGAAAGTTACATAATTATCACCATTGATTTAATTATTAATGGTTAAGATTATATGATGATGTTAAATTACATGCAAGATTCATTTCCAACATATTTTGATAAATTCAACCACGTTTTTCCCCCAACCACTAATAAAAACAGAGTTCGTGCAGAAACACCAATAAAGAGAGCAAAGAAAGAGATAGTTTGTCCAACATGGCCAGGAACAACAATTGATTCCAGAACACTCTTTTTGTTACCCACACAACAACAGAAGAGAAGAGAAGAGAAGGAAACAATGGCTGCTTTTATCTCCATTCCATCTCTATTGGGTTGCTGTCCTTGTTCTACTGCATTGTCTTCAAAACCCTTTCAAATTCAAACCCTACAACCCCAAATCCTACCTTCTCCTTCTCTTTCCCATCGCCCCATTTATGCTTCCAACCTTTCTACTATCTTAGGGTTTCCAACCCCGCTTTCTTGTGTTAATCGAAGGACCCTTTTCAAGTCTTATCTCTCTTTCCAAGATTCCCCTCCAACTGTACTCTCTCTCTCTCTCTCTCTCTCTCTCTCTCTCTATTCCTTGCGTAATTGTTGTTTTCATCGTACAATTGTTGCACTTGATGCAATTAAACCAGCCTAATTGTTATCAATTTTATTTTTTTAAAAATAATATATTTATTTTGATCCTCTGCAGTGGTAAGGATAATATAAGTGACAGCAAAAGGTTCTGCTTTGTAAAATATCATGATGTATAGTTAGCTAAGTAGAAGATTAAATTTATTTGTATGATCGTGTCTTATATCTTTGATTTTTCACAAGTATGTAACTTTGAGCCAGTACTATCCTTGCTACAATGCCATAATATATATTGAATCCTCAATATTTAATTTTTCCTTTTACCTTCTTGTACCTTTGTGATACTGATAAGTGATATCATAATATCATTACTTTATGAAGTTTGAAGTATACAGATTCATTTGCTTTTACCCTTTTGATTTTATTTTACACCCCTTGTCCTTCCTTCCTCATCAACACTGCATGTGTTAAAATTACTAATTCTCATGATGCTTGTTTATTTTAAGTTGCAATAGGTTATTTTTGTTTCAGTAGTTGTTCCTGAATTATACCCCTAGCTAAATCCTCTATCTGTCTTGTCTTCCATAGACAAAAGATGCAACGGAGGAGACTCAGAATGATGTTAGATTGACAGATGATGATGATGAGGATGAAAAATCTTTACCCAGCTTAATGGCCCTCACTGAAGCATACAAGGAAGCCCTTCTTAATGGGGATGATAAAACTGTATCTCGGATTGAAGAGAGAATACATTCAATGGCATATAAAAAAAATAAGTTGATTCAGAAAGTATCAACTTTGTCGGCAAAGAAAGTTGGTTCTAAGGAGGAATATCTTCGCTTACAAGCGGATTTTGATAATTTTAGGAAAAGAACTCAGAAAGAGAGACTTAGGACCCAGTCTGACGCCCAACAAGAAGTCATTGAGAAACTTCTGTTGATGGTGGACAATTTTGAGAGAGCCAAACAACAAAATAAAGCAGTGACGGAAAAAGAGAAGAAAATTGATGCAAGCTATCAAGGTATTTACAAGCAATTCGTAGAGATTTTGAGGAGCCATCATGTTTCTGTGGTAGCAACCGTGGGCAAGCCTTTTAATCCCTTGGTAAGTGAAATTTGAAAACACCTATGTTGATCTTATATAAGGAATATCTTCCTTTTTGCTTTTGATTGGTATTGGTATTGGTATTGGTATTTGAAACAATTTTATACAGAGAGAGGATGCTTCAGGACTCATTTTTGCTGTGTTCAATATCAGACAATCATTCCCCAATCCCCCACAAATAAGAAAAGGAAGGACAAGAATTTTACATCCAGGATCTGATATGAGAATATCATCTCTGATTGGCCTTTTTCTTGAAAAATGTGTTCCTTGATTTCTGTTTTTTAGGGAGTTAGAGATCAAGTTAATATCTTGATTGTGTTGTGTCATGAGTGACAAAAATTGGGAACAGTGCTTTGCTTGTTAGGCTAGCTTTTGGTATATATGTTGCTTTTATAGAGATACTGCTCAAGTATTGCAATCTTTAAATTTATCATAAGTTACTTCCTGGTGATTATGGATTTATGGTTATAGTGCTCACATATATGATCTCACTGGCAACTTTTTTTAAGAAATGCAAAAAATCCATTAGATGAGATGTGTGTTTGGAGCTGTTGCATATCTAGATTTTGTAGAGATATTTTTGCAAGAATTGGTTTTGGAAGAATCAAATCTTTTTTTGTTTGGGAAATTTTTTTTACAGGTGATGTGAGTGGGGTTAGGTTATTCTTGTTTGGGTATAGTTAGTGAAAATTACTTTTAGTGTTGAACTACTGAAAGGGATGTAATTTTTTTTATCCTTAAATAACAAGGAGTTTTATCAATCTGTAATGGCTAATGCATTCAGGCTGCCAACCAAATTTACAAATTATAGTTTTTGATTTTTTTTTAAATAACTTTTTTTTTATAATGTGATTCTTGGTCGTCCTACCACATCCCGAGAGACTACACTGCCTTTTGATTGTACTCTTGTAGTAAAAGAACACAAGTTGAACTTCAAACATATTATTTATTCCTCTTGAAAGTGAAAAAGTTATTTTGTTGATAGTTTTGCTTCTCATTGCCCCATGCTTGAAACTAAAATGGGGACGATACTCCTGCTGTTTGATGAAAGCTTGTAGAACGTTATCCACATAACTATTGTTTAATTTGTTTTTGGATTACTTTTGTTGTAGCTACATGAAGCCATTGGACGTGAGGAGTCCGTAGAGTTCAAGGAAGGGATTATAATTAAAGAATCCCGACGTGGTTTCTTGCTCAAAGATCAGGTTCTAAGGCGAGCACTTGTCAAGGTTTCCTTAGGGCCTGGCAATAAGAAATCTCCAGTGGCTTCTGACAAGTCCAAGGAGCATCCTTCAACAGCTGCTGGAATAGATGAAAGATAGTCTCTTGAACTTTCTCACATATTCATTAAAAGTCTAGTTTCACCTTCCTTCCTGATATCTTGTCATTGGTCAACTTAAAATGCTTCTTATGTACTATATTTGGGTATTTTGGCCCCAGGTGAGTGAGTATTAGCCCTTGTAGTATGGACCTTGCAAGTTTTAACTTGTGTCCAACTGCACTCCCATTTTTGTTTCATCATGGAAATAGGGAATTCATTTTGATGACGAGAAAATGGTGAGTTTATTGTGCATTCCATTTTTACCAGTTTTAGAAATGGTTCTTTCTTCTTGAAAATTTCTGGTGGTATTGTCCCTCATCTCGACGCATAGAGTTTTTAACGTTTCATGAAGGGTGATCATAGACAAAGCTTGAATGTAGAAACACCTTAATTTTTCATTGGTCACCAACCAAAAAGCAATTGAGGTTTGAGTTCTAAGAATAAGTGGAGTTCATATGTTTTTGCCTGATAACTTTGTTAAAACTCTAGTCTCCAGCGTTACAACGCTCCACTGTTCTCTAGCAAAATCCTTTCATGGAACTGTGAGGCAATGCCAACTAAATTTTAAAGAGGCAAACAGTTGCAGTTTGGATTGGAGAATGAAAATTTACCCACAAAAAAAATTAAAAAATTAAAATTAAGGGGAGAACAACGTTAAAACCCCAAAAGGAAAAGACAGGCGAAAAGATTCATTATCCACTACTTGCCATGCTACCCTGAGTTGCACGCACACGAACTTTTTTGAAAAAAATGCGTGTGGGACACAGTGTCCGACACGGACACGTTTCGACACGCGGTCAATATTTTAGGACACGCGATCAATGTTCCGACACGTTTCGATACTTTTTTTGACATGCAGTCAACTTTTTTTGACACGCGGTCAACGTTTCGACACTATCCGACATGCTCCGACACGTTTTTTTAGAACTAAATTTTATTTTATTAACTAAACATGAAAAATAATTTCTAAATCAATTTTTTTTTGTTATGAAATTTGACATGAAAAATTAACAAGATACGCAAAATTATTTTTATTTATATTTATGTTATAAAATTTGAAAATTTGATTCGTTAAATGACTTATTATGGGCTGTTATATGTATTAAATATAAATTATATTATATATATTAAAAATATTATTTAATATCAAAACGTATCTCAATGTGTCAGAATATGATATTTTTTAGAATTTAAGTGTCGATGTGTCGTGTCATATCGTATCGTGTGTCTCGTGTCAGTGTCGGTGCATCATAGATGCTACCAAATTCAATCTCAGCGAGTTCCTACTTTGGGCGATGTATGGATACTTGATCTAGTGAACCTTTTTTTTTTCATATAATAGTTTCAAAGCTATATGACTAATGCTGGCAGAAAAATTTAACAAACTTCAATCAGAATTTGTCAATCTTTAAAAGTAATTGTTGGATAAGTCATATTAAAGTTTAATATTTTTCTAAATATATATTCGATATAGAAGTTGACAATGTATAATATTGAAATATATTTCAAATTTAATTTTTTTTATACAATTTTAATAATAATAAAAATATTATAGCGTATACAAATTATATTAAATATAATCTAATTTGTAATACTTTTACTCATGTAATATCTATATATTAAAAGAATTTAGAATGGAAAAAAAAATCACTTTAAAACATTAATAACATGATAATGCATAATTAAATGACAATAATAATATAATAAAATCAAAATTGAGTGAACATTCTAGTTTTTTTTTTTTTGAGTAAATATCTTTTTTGGTCCTCAGCAAATTTTACGATACCCGCTTTAGTCCCTAGCAAATAAAAAGTCTCATCGTGGTCCCTAAGAAATTCAAAATGGACTCATTTAGTTGAAATCGTGGTTCCTCACAAATTCAAAAAAGATCCATATTAGTCCCTCAAAAGGACTAAAATGGGTTCATTTTGAATTTCTTAGGGACAAAGATGAGCCTTTTTATTTACTAGGGACTAAAGCGGACATCGTGAAATTTGCTGAGGACCAAAAATGATATTTACTCTTTTTTTTAAAAAAAAAAAATCTATTAGTAATGTAATATATTTATGCTATTTAACTTAAATATAGTATAACATTGATTAATATTGTTTACATAAGTTGCACTATTTCCCCCCTCCAATAAATTGTCCTAAAAGTTAAAAAATCTATCATTAGCAATTAGCATTTCTAACCATGTTCAATTTGAATAAAGTCAAATTAATAAATTTGTTCCGCAAACTGGCGTCATTTGCATGGACATCAGGGCACAATAAGATATTTTTAAAGCCCAGTGGTTCACATTTGGGAAGACAGAAAATGGTAATGGTCAAAAAAATAAAAAAAAATAAAAAGAAAAAAGTGATAACCATGTGAATTATAAATTGTTAACCATTAACCCCACTAACTGAACCTAGACCTCATTCCGTCCTGGTGAACCCAACTTGCGAATTTCTCTCCTCGGATGGTATGGTCCCTTACTTTATTAATTAATGGGAAAAATGTTAATATTTGTTTAGTTTTTGTTTGTATTATCACCAATTCATGTGTTTACGTTCAATTCACTCACTCGCATAACAAAAGCATATGCAGAGCTCTCACGCTACCAAAACCACACACTGTACTCTGTTTCTGTCTCTTAATAGCATCCATATTCATTTCCCCTTCCCTTTCTTTTCCTCTGTCACCCTCATCCTCACCCTAACCCTTTTTACGCATTTCATGCATTCTTTTTCTATTCAAACTTATTCTTCCTCATCGTTCCCCTATTCTCTCTGTTCCTGTTGTTGTTGTTTCTGCACCTACCCATAATCTCAATTCCGATCAAGAAACAAACTTTTCCTTTTTCGTCTTTTCGGGTCGATCCATGGATTCTCAACCGGGTCTATCTCTCGGGTTGAACGCCACCACCACCCAACTCAGTGACAACTCGTTCTCATTCCAGGTGATCAAACTCAAAAACGAACAAGAAGAAGAAGAACAAGCTGAAACCATTAACTTCATGGATTGGCCTGTGCGCGTGAAGAAGAGGAAGAGGCTGATAGAGGAACAACAACAATCGTGCCTTGGGAACCAGCCACTAAGGGTTGCAGACCCTGAGATTTACGAAATCATGGAGAAAGAGAAGGGAAGACAGTTCAGAGGAATCGAATTGATTGCTTCTGAGAATTTCGTGTGCAGGGCAGTGATGGAAGCTCTTGGTAGCCATTTGACCAACAAGTACTCTGAGGGAATGCCAGGAGCCAAATACTACACAGGTAATCACTATATTGATCAAATTGAATTTCTATGCTGCAAGCGTGCATTGCTTGCCTTTGATCTTGATCCCAACAAATGGGGTGTGAATGTTCAACCTTATTCCTGCACTTCTGCAAATTTTGCTGTATACACTGGTCTCTTGCATCCTGGGGATCGAATTATGGGTCTGGATTCCCCGTCTGGTGGACATTTGAGTCATGGTTATTATACTCTTGGTGGGAAGAAAGTTTCTGCTGCATCCATTTTTTTTGAGACTTTGCCTTACAAGGTCAATCCTCAAAATGGGTATATAGACTATGACAAGCTTGAGGAAAAAGCACTTGATTTTCGACCCAAGATACTTATCTGTGGTGGCAGTTCTTATCCCAGAGAATGGGATTACGGGAGGTTCAGGTTGATTGCTGATAAATGTGGGGCAGTGTTGATGTGTGACATGGCTCATATCAGTGGTCTTGTGGCAGCTAAGGTGCTCTATCTTATGTCTTATTTCTGATACAATCAAATTATGAATTTTATAACTCTTTAAGCTTTTATGAGGTCGATGGAGCTCTGATTTAGTTTTCTTTGGAAGGTAGAGGCAGGTAGTTATGTGCTTTAGAACTTGTAAGATATAGTTCCTTGATTTATGTTTGGGCTTTAGAACATTGAAGCTGCCTTTACTATCTACATCGTCAGACTTTCTCCTCTCTTACTATGTGTTTGATGAAAGTAAAAATAATTTAAAAGAACTTGACTTTTTGCCACAGCAGATGCTAGTTATATTACATCTTATTTCTGTTTAGTTCTAGCAGGTAGGAAACATCAAAAGCAAAATTACCTCTTATTTCTTTGTTTTTTTCTGTTCTCCCCTGCATACTTTTATGCTTGGATTTTGATGAAATTGCCTTTGTGAAGGAAAATTCTATACGAAATTGGATAATTATTTTTTATTTCCATTAATCACCTTCACGAAGCAAACTAAGGGCAGTGTGGTTTACTGCTTACATATGTTTGGCGGAAGTCTAATTGCTTATATGGATCCAGTAGTATGCATAGATTAAGCTTGTGTTTCTGATTTTAGCCTGGACTTTCTGGTGTATAATATTTATTAATTGAAGAAATGTCATATGAGTTTGAACTCTGGTACAGCTGGATTTCCTTCATTTCTAAAATGCTTGTGTGCCAAATATGCTGTTCTTTTTATTTGTTTGGCTCTCTGTAAACAATTTTAATTTCCCATTTCCTGTCTGAAACTCTGAATGTGCTTTTAAGTATATTGACAGTTGTTCGTTACAGGAAGTAGCTAGTCCATTTGATTACTGTGATATTGTTACCTCAACAACCCACAAAAGTCTCCGTGGTCCAAGGGGAGGCATCATCTTTTATAGAAGAGGGACAAAACCAAGGAAGCAAAGCTTGGCTCTTAATCACGGAGATGATAGTAATTATGATTTTGAGGAGAAGATTAACTTTGCTTTATATCCATCATTACAAGGAGGTCCCCACAATAATCACATTGCTGCTCTTGCCATAGCTTTAAAACAAGTTGCAACTCCAGAGTACAAAGCATACATGCAGCAGGTGAAGAAAAATGCACAGGCTTTAGCATCCTCCTTGTCGAGAAGAAAATGCAGATTGGTGACTGATGGGACTGATAATCATCTGTTGCTCTGGGATCTAACCGCACTAGGCTTAATTGGTATTTTTTCCCCTCCCAATCTGCTTCTATTTTTTGCAAATATATGTTAAAAGTATATCTGAATTTGAAATGAATATGCTGTTTTTCATTAATAACAATGAGTTATTATTTGGCTTACTGGCAATGGGAAATGATGCAACCACACAAGTGACTTAAATTTTTATGATTTTGTCCCTGACAAGTTAAAATTGTATACTCATTGTAGTTAAACTTGTTATATATTTCAATGTAACTTAATTTTAGTTTTATATTTTTTTAATATAAAATCATAGCAGAAAAACAATCAAATGTTTTTAGTTTAACTACTTTTTTATCATTTTATAGTTAAGTAAATCATAAAAATACTATTATTTGATTATATCAGCACTAACATAATTTTTGTGAAGTATACAATCAAGGAGCTTGTATAAACTATGAACTCCACCACTTGTGTATAGAAACCAAACCTTATAATAATTATAATACTTAATACAACAACAACAACGACCCGATCCTTATCCCACTAGGTGGGCTGTAATAATAATTATGAAAATAAATGGGGAAAGTAATTATGAAGTAAACTTTCTTTGATTTTGCTTGTTTTCATTTTGCCACCTTTTGTTTTAAAATATCATTCTTCTTCCCTTGAGGATTATTTGCCAGCACATAGCCCATGTTTTATCTTAATCATTTTGTTTAACAAATATGCTTGTGACATGATTGTACCTTCCCCTTTTATTAGACTTTCAAAATTTCAAACTGGAAAAAATAAGTAAAACCCATCCCACCTTCCGGTGTGATTGTGATATACCTTCCGGTGAGATCGGAGCTGTAAGCATCGAGGGGGAGGGAAAAGAGTTAGTTACTTATAGCCTTTTGGAATTGTTCGGCTGGCAGAATGTGCAGCCTATGAGTGAAGGGATAGCAGATTTCAGTTACTAGGGAGGGTTTATAACCAAGGATGGCTTGGAGGGAAAGCAGGCATGCATTGGGTGTTATTGTATAGCAAGGTGCTGTAGGAGAGCAGGGTTCTCTTGAATAACCCATATCTCTCTGCATTCTGTTATTACAGATTCACTACACTACTTACATTCCAGTTTTCTTCTATCTTTCTGGTCTTGGAATTACCTGGTTCCTATCAGATTGGCAATGTTATGACTGAGCTGGACATAAACTGTGATTACCCTATAGATGAACTTCATGTGTGTTTTAGATAAACTGAATTGGATCCTTAATTTCCAAGTTTTTTTTTTCTTTATTTAGGTCTTTCCTAATTTATTGATGTCAAACAGCAACTAAGATTAAGAGGCTAGGGAAAAAATTTTAAGATTTAAGGATAAGTTAAGGCCAAGGGACTTGGTGGATTAAAAGTTTAATCAAAGGTATGCTTGAAGAGAGGTTGGCTTGCAAGCTGTACAATGATGATTTAGGACCAGGTTAAGATGAATAAAGAATGGAGAAAACGCCTGTTGTCATGCCTAAGATATCTAAACTGACTGACTAAGGCTTAAAATAGTTGTATGCAAAAATTTTGTTCATTTAAAACTACTATGGAAGCATGCACGGTGTTTACTGGATCAGTTGCTTTGATATTCTGGCCATCCTTATATTTTTCTTGTTGGCTTTCTGATCAAGAGATTCTATCAGCACAAATCCAAGTATTTCCGTGCTTGCAACTCCAGACTAAGAGCTCGTTTGGATGGGCTTTTTTCTCTCCAAAAGCTTCTTTTTTTCTTGAAAAAAAACACTTCTCATTTTTAGTGCGTTTGGATGTTTGCTTTTAAAAAAAGCAGAAGTCACAAAAAAATTCAAAAATCTACTTTTTTCAGAAGCTAAAAATTTTAACTTCTAAAAAAGCAAAAGTCAAAAGTCAAATATTTTTTTTCAAAAACTAAATATTTTTATAAAATATAAATAGCTTTAACTTTTGTAAAAAACACTTCTATATTAAGGAAGAGATAAAAGTTACTTTTTTTAGAAGGCGAAACAAACGGGCTCTAATTGGATTCTAAATATATAAACTTAACTCAAACTTGTGTTCATTAGATAAATCGTGGATAGATTTAGCATGTGTTGCATGAAGTTCCAGCTTGAATTCGATATGGGAAGTTGTCTTTTGCAAATTCAAGATATGTGTTCGGGATATATATATATATATATATATTACTATTTTCCCCCCTGTAAACTATATGCATCAAGCTCTTACAGAAGTTTGGTTTACAATATCCAAAAAAGAGAAAGGTAGGAGGCCGGGCCGAAGAAAAGAAATAGATACAAAGCGTCAGCCCCTATTATTGTGTTGACTTTAGAGTAGTAAAGATGCTAATCTATTTATTTGTTTTACTGGGTATTTCAATATTTAGATTCCAGTATGCATGTATTTGTGTCTTACTCATGATTTCTTATACTCCTCTTCCTTTCTCTTATAAATAATGTCCCTGAAGTTGACATGAGCATGCTCTTTAAATCATTTTATTATGTAATACAGACAGAAACTATGAGAAGGTCTGCGAGGCGTGTTACATCACACTCAATAAATGTGCCATTTATGGTTCTATTTCTCCTGGAGGAGTGAGAATTGGTGAGTACCTCTCATATAGTACGTCTGAACTCTGAAGTTTTGGTATTGGTATAGTTTCAATTTACGTAATTTTTCTGGTGCAAGATGCTTTCAAGTGTAGCAGATATCTTATGTTTTCCATTCCATTTAGTTTAGCATTTAATGGTCCATGCTTAGCTTATGATTGGCATTTAGCAACAAGTCTTTGTTCCAAACTCTAACTGCCTAGTAGCTCCAACTTCCACATATTTAGTAATTGGTCCTTAATTTCTTTTGTTTTATATACAAAGAAAGAAAATCTGTGTTTATCATGCGTAGAGCCTACCCCTTGTGAACCAATTATATTGCTATTTAATTCCATGTTTATACAAATTACTTTTGGGTCTTCTGAATACCCCTTTTATTCTCGTTCTGAAGTCCCTTTATTTCAATGGTATTCAGGTACCCCTGCAATGACATCAAGAGGCTGTTTAGAGGATGATTTTGAAATCATAGCTGATTTTCTTCTGAGGGCAGCTCAGATTACTAGCAGCATACAGAGGGAACATGGGAAGTCGTGCAAAGATTTTCTCAAGGGACTTAAGAATAATAAAGACATTTCTGAGCTCAGAAATCGGGTTGAGACATTTAGTTCCCAGTTTGCATTGCCAGGATTCGATAATTGATTTGATAATGTAAAGCAGGCCCTCCATACATCCTTGACATCGTTATGATACGTCTTGGGTTACCATGTTTTGAGTTATTTTTGCGTGGTAAACCCATCAGTTTTTATTCCTTGCTCTTATCTTTATAAAGTTAGCTCCTGTAAATTACATAGGCGAATGGAAGTCAAATCATGATGCCTCGGCCATACATCACTCTCAGCAATTGTCCGCTTATTGCTGACTTTGAGATTGTATAAATTATTCGAGGTTGATATTCTTTTCTTCAACCACATATTTTGTGGCTACCCTTTGTTTATGAAGAAACTTAAGTAATTACATGACAGTGCTATAACAGAAATACATTAAGAGAAGTATTATATTATGTCCAGTGCTCATGTTGATATATTATTTGAAGTGAACATGAGATTATTTTAAGTCATCACTTGATAAATTTTTCTCTGCTTGTTCCTATATATGAAGCCTAATGCATGATGGGTTATATAACCATAGGAATTAAAATATGAGAATACCAACATCCTATTATACCAAAGTTTATAATATTTTGTTGTGATTAAGAAGCTGTCATTGTCTGTGCATTGACAATGTTACTTTTAATGAGGGTAAATGGGTGTTCACCGTATGGCAGCCAGCCATTGCTTCATTGGAGGGTGGTTTGGCTGGTTGACCACCATTTCTGCCCCGTCTGGCGCCCTGCATGCTGGAATATATCCCAATTATTATTATTACTCTTCTATTTTGTCTCTATGTTTGCACTTTGAGTATTATTTTATTGTTTGTTTTTAAAGCATCACTGATGTGGAACCCTTATAAGGAGGCAAGGCATGAATTTCTGGCAAGGGACAAAAAGCATGAGATACGGTTAGGAATGAGATAATGACCGCTGAATTTTTTGTGATATATTAAACATCCCAAAACCCCAAAAGGGGGAAGTTAGAAGAGTTTTGAAATAAAACAAAGTTCTCAGTGTGAAAGAGAGAGACTTGTCAGAATGTGGTGAGAATAAGTTTTCATCATCCTCTCCATTGCTTTCAAAGTGAACCGAATCAGACAAAAGCTTCCTTAGAGCAAAAGAAGCTGCCTTTGGCGTTAAAGCAATCCAGGAATCTCAGAGTGCTCCTCTCTACAGTCCTAAGCCTCCCTTTCCGTTACTTTCCATTATTCTTTCACGACTAGAATCAATGATTAGTCATTTTCTGAGGCAAAACTCACTGATGAGAGCATTCTTTCAAAATTCAATGAAAATAAAGAGAAAAATCAGTCACTGCCAAAGAAAATGAATTTAAATTTAACCTGACTGATACTGTGTACCTCTTCTTATGTCGAGTATAATGGGGTTCTTTTAACTTTTTTTTTTTTTTTTTTTTTTAACTTTTTTGGTTACTCCGCTTCAAAACTTTTGTCTTTTTCTTCCCTGGCTGTAATTAAACGAGGAATCAAACTTTCCCAAAGAATTTAACTCTCATGCAATGAAGATAATTAAATAATCCATGGTCAATATTGTAATCAAACCCAGAACCACATTCAATTTGAGAACCTTCTATACAGACTTCTGCTTGGAAAAAGACTTGGCAGAAGCACCAAAGTTTTTAAGTTTCAACTTTCAACTACGGTAACTGTGAAAAACAAAATAAAAACCACAAAAGATAAAAGAAAATTATAAAAAATAAAAGGGTTAATAAAAAGGTACAATACCCCATCAACTGTTACTCTACCCGTCTTTGTTTTCAATTTTTTTTTTTTTTTTTCCTTTGGTATTTCTCTTTCACAATTCCATCATATCATATCATTCATTCACTCACTTTCTTACACTCTTTGTTTACCTTATCTTACCTCACCTCACCTATGACTGCCAAAGTCCAAAAGCTTCTTCCTTCCTTCAACAATCTCATCAAAGAAATCATCAAGCTGTGCAATAATGGTATCTGCACCAGATCTGAGAACCCCAAAACACCCTCTCAGATTCTCCACTCTATCCCTAATACCAACCTCATTTTCCCAATCCATCACTCCTCCCTGTGAACCCCTCCTCTCCAATTCTCCTCTCAGCTCCTCCATTGCCACCTTCGATCTTCTATACTCATACAACAACATCCCAGGCCCCTCATTGATCTGGCTCATCTCCGCCGCCACCCTCTGTTGCAACCTCGCCGTCGACATCATAAACGCCGATCCCAGGAACAAGCAACCCTCGTACCCTCCCACCACAAAATCCGAGGATTCCGGCCAACAGTACACCAACCCATATACCAAAATCATCAGCAACAACGAACTCACGTTTCTCATTGCATAAAGCACTGCTCTGAACCCGTTGAACCCGTTTAGCTTCGATTCAATCGACACCCTCTCGTCGAAACGCAACGAAAGAGGTTGAATCCTCGTTTCCATCAAAGCTCTGTTCTCCTCCTCCAACCCCACAGCTTCTCTTCTACACCCTGAGATAGCTCTAATAACCTGCAAAACACAACACAACACAACACAACAAGACTCTTAAAAAGGTTGTTTTTTTGTGTGTTGTTCATGACAACATGCAATAATAAATAAATAAAATCAAATTTTTATTGTTGTGGTTATGAACTTATGATGAAGCTGACCTGGCGAGAGAGTTGGGGTGTGATGTGGCGATGAGAATCGAGAGAGGAAGTGATGTTTGAAGCAGCAGAGTAATAATTTTCGATTCCTGAAATGCCAGACTTGAGAACATGGCATGCTTCCCAAAGCTTGGAACTTTCGTCCATGTACTCATCAAGCCACTTATCACCCACTGGTAGATGAAGCTTTTGAACCAGAAGGGTCAATTGGGTGTGGAAGGATCGAAGAAGAGACAGTGCCCTTTGAAGGAATTGGATTGACATGAAGTTGTTGCTCATCAACACTCTTTCTAGATCGTCAATTCCTCTTGTCAGAAACGAGTAGAAGCCATTCACAGAGTTGGTGGAGGAAGGATCCATTTTAAGTTGACACAGCTATGTGGGAATTAATAAATGGGAAAAAAGAAAAGAAAAGAAAAGAAAAGAAAAAAGGGGATGGTTGGAGTTATGAAGGGGGAAGTGGAGGGGAGAGATGGTTGTGAAGAAGAGGGATATTTAAATTGAGAGAGAGTGGAGGCATAAGGGAAAAAAAAAGTAGAACAAAAAAAAAAGTGAAAAGAATGGAAGAATGGAATATCTTAGACGCTCAGGTTTCTAAGGTTGAAAAGGATTGTTGGGGGCAATGATGGGTGTTTCCTACAGAGGGGAAAGGATGATTGGTAATATGCCATTTTCATTGTTTAATGGGCACAAAGGAAGAGAGTTACTAAAACAAAAACCAAAAAAAATTAAAAAAAAATAAAAAAAATTAAAAGTGAGGTTTGGAAATTATAAAGAGAAAAACAATAATAATACTAATGAAGAAAGATTATTAGCCAGGTCAATGACACAAAATTATCTTTTTCTTTTTCTTTTCGTGTTTCTGTCAACCTTTAAACAAAGAATTCTCCAAACGCATTTTAATTACTTTCTATTGTTTGTTTATTATATAATATTAAAGGCTACAAACCGTAACCGTAGAAGAGGGTGCAAGCAAGCGGGATTTTGATATTTTATTTGTACACATATATATAATAAGTAAGATTGGGATTTTCCTGGGTCATGCAAAGTTTGACTGGGTTGTTTCTACAACATCAGTTTTCCATTCTGATACTGTGATACAGGTCATGCTTTTGTTTTGAGTGTTTTTTTGGTTTCTACTTTCCTCAATTTCTTCCTCGAGCTACTGAAATTTGCTGGCTCTTCTTCGACTCTATTCTATGGAAATTTGAAATTTTGTATTTCCTAGATATATATTGTTCTGTTGATTTTTCCAAAAAGAAGGATTGGAATGATGAGGCTCCTTGTACTTGTGTGTTTCATAATCTTCCACCATCCATAAATCAGTCTTTTAAGGTCATATAAGCTATTTTTACATTTTAATTAAGGAAAATATAAGTAGGCACATTATAAGAGATGACTTATATCTTATGTTATGGACTCTTCGATAATTGAACTGTTATTTTTTTCATTTTTTTTTAGTAGTAGATTCCATCCTTTTATATCTTAACATAAAATATGTTTTCTCCTATTAGATAAGAGTAAACAAGCCTTTAATTAATTAGTATTTCATTACCTTTGTTTTCGGGACAATAAAGGATAATGCTTGCTTCCTTATATCCTTAACCCTTCTTAATACACTGTATTGAATATATTTAATTCCAAACTCTAACTTCTAAGTAGTATAATCCAAATCTGAAGTTTCCTTTTTTATTTTTTTTGTAAAACAAAAAGAAAGTTTCATTTTTAATAGCATATTGTTCAAGCCATTAGCGAAGTAAAAAATATTTATCAATGCCATTGATAGAGTAGGCCTTACTACCCATCAAGCGACAGATATATTGGTAAAAAGAAAAAAGATTTTGAGATGCATCAGCTTCATGATTGTTCAGTATTGCATCTGGGTCCCATAATATGTGTATCATACCAAATGGGTTTTAATTGATTGATTGTTTTTAGTCACTAATTGAAGGCCACGATATGTTTCCTTTGCCTTTTTTTTTCCTTCCTATATATATTTTTTTATATTTTATTTTGCTAGTTGGGAGAGAGGGGGATGGGGGACCATTGGAAAGCAAACTAAATTACGCGTCGGGTTATGCAACATCTTATTAAATTTGGTTGAGACGAGTGCTCGTGGGTTTTTGAAGAATGGGACACCTTAGAAGTATGTTGGTCTTCTAAGATTTCATTGGAAAGTAAATAATGAATTGGGGATAGGTAAAGAAGAGATTACACAAGAAACATTAATATGGGCACCCGTCACAACCAAAGGTAACTTACATAGAAGATGATGTCACCCGGGTGCCATATATATATATATATATACAGGGTTATGATCACTTTACACCAGTGTAAGTTACACTCTCAATCTTGTCCGTTAATTCCACTTATATCTAAGGATGTTGAGATATATAGTCTCACATTGATTGTTTCTATATATCTCAACAAAAGACTCTAATTTTTTTAGTAACGTGAGCCATTGGATACAAGTAGATCAATGGTTAAGATTAGGTGTAAGCCTCCTAATTCTTACACCCGATGTAAGAATATCTTGCCCTATGATCCTTTGACATCAGTGTCAAATTTAAAATTTGACACCTTATTTTAAGAGCCGTTAAATCAATAAAGATCAACGACTCTGATTTGTAAGCATGTGATACCATTGATCTTTTTTTATCTAATGACTCTCAAGTGAGATGTCAAAGGATCCTACCTCTATATATATATATATATATATATATATATATAAGGTAGGATCCTTTGACATCAGTGTCAAATTTGAAATTTAACATCTCATTTGAGAGCCATTAGATCAAAAAAGATCAACGAGAGTCTTAGATGAGGTGTCAAATTTCAAATATGACGCCGATATCAAAGGATCCTTCCTCGTTTATATGACCCTAATTAGTTGATCCTCATATATCTTCACGAGTTTCAATTCTTTAAATCAGCTGTGAGAATAATCCCGAGTCGGATTTAGTTATAGTTAAAACTCATAATCTTTCCCAAAAAAAAATGTATTTAATGAAAATTAAACACATATTTCCTTTCTACCTATTCACACTGTGTTACCAATTCTATTTCATTAGTAAAGATATTTTTTGGTGAATTTCGTTAGCAAAAAAAAAATCTATTGAAGAAAATAAGTAACCTAATTTTCCGAGTAAAAAAATTTTGTGCACTTGTGAAATTGGCCAACGTCTAGTTGGAATAAGCATGGCCCACTATAGAAGTTTGCACTTTGCAGCACTGCAACATTAACTCCTCCCCTTCAATTGTAATTTGTAACTGCTGGCTGCTGATATTTCCGTGATGCATGACCTTATTCCCGCGACGACCTAGTACCTGCAAGGATAAGAAGCTGCATCCTACTGAATCACAATAACTACCCTACAATGCTAAAGAAAATGAATAGTCCCCTTATATTAAAGGAAAATCATTATCTCTTTCTATATGAGATAAGAACTTTTTCCTACACAAATTCGTTTTCCGTGCCAATTAATTTTTCTTTTCTTTTTTAATTTAAAATGTGGGACTCACATTTAACTTATCTCTACTTTTTTTCTCTCCTACTATCCTACAACATAAGAAAATATGCACCCTATATTAAAATAATAAATGATTTTCATGTACAATATTCGCAGAATAAAAATATATCTAAATAGTTTTGCAAAAATAAAATTATATATATATATATATATGGGGAATGATCTGTTTACAAACTTTTTTTTACAAATTACACTATGTTGTCCTGGGAGAACATAGTGAAACTAGTCTTCTCCCGGGAGAAGATAGTGTAGTTTGTAAGAGTTTTTAAACAAAAAAAGTTTGTAAATATAACTTGTCCCTATATATATATATATGAGACAGAATATTCTTACACCAGTGTAAGAGTTAGAAGTCTTACACTTAATCTTGATCTTTGATCCACTTGTATCCAATGGCTCACATTACTAAGAAATTAAAGTCGTTAGATATAAGTAGAATCAATGGTCAATATTGAGAGTGTAACTTACACTGGTGTAAAACAATCCTGACCCTATATATATAGGGATTTATACTTCTCACGTAACATGAGAAGGGAAATTTTCCTACACACCCTTCAATTTTCGTGCTAACATAGGTCCCACCCATGACTTTTTCTAATATATGGGTCCCACATATTTTTTATCTCTGACATAAGAAGGCTCATCTTATGTAACATGAGAAGTATAAATCTCATATATATATATATATATATATATATATATATAATATAAAAAACATATTTTTTCATTTAGAGTAATTTTTCTAATATGAAAATTTAGATTAAGTATTATCTACCATCAGCTAAACTTAGATAGAAGGTTCGACCATGTGTGCTAATCCTCAATAAAATATGTCATGTTAGTTGTTATTTGATTGTGATTTTTATTGCTTCTATTAAATGACTTATTTTTGTTAATAAAAATAATTTATATTATATTTATTAATAATTTTTTTTTTTTGAGGTTTATTAATAATATTATTTATTGTATCAAATAACATTAGTCACCTTTCTATTATATTTATGTTGAGCCGTAAATGAATAAACAAAACATATTATATCACCTTTTTTTTTTGTATAACCTGGAGGTATCTTCATTCAACCACCTCCCGTCATCTTGCTCTTGGGGTACGGCCCTGTAGGCTAGCCCTTCATTGGAACACTTTGCTATCGGAGTAAAGATGAGACTAATCCTCCGTTCGAGGTGGAGATAAAGATGAGACTAATCCTCCGTTCGAGGTGGAGACACATCCTCTAGCTCCGAAAGATTTTTCAAAAATTTGCTTGAGACATGGATTGAACCTCTTACGCAAAAGAATCCTCGGGAGCTCAATTGCCAACTGAGCTGCCCTTGGGGTTACTTAAGTTAATTCATTTATATCACCTTTCTATAATAAAGAGAAATGTTACTTTCTACCACAAAAACAGAGACATGTTACTTAAGTTAATTTTGTAGCAAAGTTATAGGTCTCTCACAAATTAATGATTAATTAATAATCAAATTAATATTTCAACATGTATTTATTGTAAGTGATTAAAAATTAAATTAATAACCCCATAGGTAGTTCAGTTAGCAATTGAGTTCAAACCCTATCGTAAATTCTTGAAAAATATTTGGAGACAGAGGATGTGCCTCTCTCCTACACTCGCTATTCCAACGAGGAGTAGCCTTCGGGGCCATACCCCGAATAAGGAGTAGCTTTCGGGACCATATTCAGAGGACAAGATGATCGAAGGAGATTGAATGTGGATACTTCCAGATTATACAAAAAAAAAAATTAAATTAAATTAATTGATGGTTGTTAAGTCACAATGATGAATTGTACGAAAATTTGTGAAATTATTAGATGGATGTTATTCTTCACCAATGGTTTTTCAAGAAACAAAACAATTTAATTTCAAATGTATTGAAGTGCTGTTAATATTATAAAAAAGCCACACTTTAATCGTGGTTTTTTTTTTTATACAATAAGAGCCATG